TAAGACAGAAATATATACTGCTTTGCATTAATTAAAACGAACTTTTACATTCCTCAAGATGTTGTATGGCACTTCTCTTCACTAATCATAATATTTTAATTGAATCATCATTCGTTGGTGTGGCTATTGCCATTTTTTTGTCTGATTTATCCAGTGCTGCTTTGCAGAACAGAAGAAACAGAAAGTCTCTGAAATCAAAAGTGGGTTGGAAGAAGCAGAAGCACTGGTATTGTATAAGATCTTTTCTGTTGCAATTCTTCTTGATCAACATTAATCTTAAGTCAACCCTTTGCAAGTTGTGGTTACAAATATGTTTCTTCTTTGAACATGTCCAGATCCGGAAAATGGACCTGGAGGCAAGAGCATTGCAGCCGAATGTGAAAGCTATGGTACTTACCAAGCTTAGAGAGTATAAAAATGACCTAAGCAACCTGAAATCTGAGATCAAAAGACTTTCTTCTACAGACAGTCAAGCCGCCCGAGATGCGTTACTGGAATCGGGCATGGCTGATGCACTGATGGTTAGTGTTGTATATTTTGTTTATTATGACCTATCTCATTATCTGTATGGCGAACAACTCTAGTCAATTAGTTGACTTATTATACTTCCTCCGTTTCTTTTTAGTTGCAACACTTTCCTATTTTGGAAAATTGTTAATTACTTGCAACACTTTCCATTTTTGACATTTCTTTCTCTCTCTCTCTCTCCTACCCACATGGGTCCCTCTTATTTTTCTCTCTATCTCTCTCCTCTTCCAAAATTTCCTAGGAGATTGTGAAAATAAGTGTTGCAACTAAAAAAAGCGGAGGAAGTATATTCTTCATCCAAAAATTGAAGAGAAACTTGTGAATTGTTTGTAAAATATAAAGTACGTAGTATATTTTTAAACATGACTACTTATATGAATCTTGCTGATCATTTCATATTTTTTGTGTTTGTTTATACGCGGTTCAGGCTTCTGCTGATCAAAGAGGGCGGCTATTGATGTCAACAGAGAGATTGAATCAGTCCACTGACAGAGTCAGGCAGAGCAGAATGACCATGCAGGAAACTGAAGCTATTGGGGTTTCTATACTAGAAGATTTGCATTCGCAACGCCAGTCACTTTTGCATGCTCATAATACAGTAAGCAGTGCTTCCTTTTGTGTGACATGTATCTTTTTTTTTTCCCTTGGAAACCCTTAAACATTGAATTTAATCTTCAGTATTTGCATACATTTTGAGCTTTTTGTCAAGCCCGTTTTCTAATCAAATTTATGCTAATTATTGTACCCAGCTTCATGGGGTTGACGAGAATGTTGGCAGAAGCAAGAAAATTCTGACTGCAATGTCAAGGAGAATGAACCGGAACAAATGGATTATTGGTACTATCATCGCAGTACTGGTCCTTGTAGTTGTGTTGATCATTTACTTCAAGTTGATCCATTAGTTTGTCAACTATGTATTTAAAGCCCTATAGTATTTGGCAACTCGCCTTGTTGGCAGTCTGATATCCATGATCTTCAGTGTGATTAATCATTTTATCATTTTGTCGTTGCTAAGTTTCTTTGTTCGTCAATTCATATTATGTTATGCCACTTCACATTCTTTGGCCAAGTTTAATATAGCCTGGTGTGTCAATGTTTGCCCTTAAGTCCCATCTTTGTCAATCAGCAGCTATTGTGTAAAGGTTAGCACTTGACATATTTGTTTTGGAGTTAACAACTACTTCAAATACTTGTACTTTGTTTTTACAGTAATTTTTTTTTTCCCCTAAACATACTAATTTGGGTAATTGCCTCTGATACTTGTTAGAATCAAAGAGTAACTGTCTCTGCCTTTTTGGAACTTTTCTGAATTTTTGTTTTGGTTGCTAATCTTGCTATTGCTGGCTTTGCATTTGCCTCAGGCTTATTTCTTGGCACACTAGATCTATATTTATATCTATTTTTATGCAATTTGTGCTTCACATTTCGAAAACATGTAATAGTACTCGTAGTATTGAAAAAATAAATTTTAAAAAGGTGTATGTAAAGTAAGGATGCTGTAAGTAAATTATGTTGATACCAATCATCTCTAGCTAAACTTGGCCTATAAATAAAAACAATATTCACTTCACCTTTTTTTTAACAATTTAGATTATGGTAAGAAATGTTCATGTAAAACAAGCTCAAGATTCGTATAAAAACCAATTAAGCAATGAGAAGTTCAGAAAGCAAACTTAACAAGGATGAAACTACACTTACAAGGAATTACTACTACAACTCTATCAGTATTCACAGTATGGGAGGGTGCCTTAAGAATTGGAGCTAGAAAGTAACAACTTTCGTAGATTTATCAAGCAAAACTTCATTGTAAATGTAGCAAACTTGTGCATGTTCATAAAGTTGATATCATGACAATGAAAAATAAGGAAAAGGGATGAGATATGGCCGAGTGATATTAATATTATTAGCTTTGCATATATGTATGCCAATGGTTTCCTTACAAGTTACTATTAACTTACCTCCCTCTGCCAAAGAATATTTTTTGTTCTTTGTTTCTCATTTGGTACAATGAATTAAGTTTGCAACAAGTATACCAAGTATGACACTAAACCTTTCTTCCAACAAAATGATAAGAATAAGTTATTTTAACAAATACTTCATACTTGGGTCTAAAACAAATTTCATTGTTCTTTTGTTGTTCTTCCACTAACAAAAGTCTTGGGTGAAACCATCTCATACTAGTTCTAAATAATCTACCAATATATCATAGGAAATTATTAAAATTCGTTAGACGGTCAAATCCTAACATATAATCCAATTTGCAACACCTTTTATGATTTTTTTTTTCTTTTTTTACGCCTTATTCTTGACGAATTAAGCAATGTTAATACATATTAAGTAAGATTACATATGTTCTTCTATACTATTTGGATGTTGAGGGCTTTATAGCCTTTTTCAAACTACTTTGTATCGAATTGAAAATTGAATATATTAAATATAATATGTTCCAATTATGAATATGAATTACTATAATCAACTATAAGAAAGTGTAAAATAATCCTTGTGATTGACAAAAAATAAAATGTAAATTTTTATTAAAACTTTGCCTATGTAACCCTCCTATAGTAGATGTGATCTTTATTAGTAAATTAGTTATTCTCTATTTATAAGCGACTCTTCCAAAATTTGATGTTCACCTATAATATTATGTATTTAAAATGTTCTTACCCAACTATAAACAAACTGAATTTTTGTAAAAAAAATTAATTGCATGCATATTACCAAAGACACTAGTTCTCTCACCACTCATTTTTACAATTGAAATATTATTGCATCTATCGAGAGTCAAATCGGACAACAGATTAGATAATTAATGTAGGCCATTTAGTATTTGGCAGTATGAATATAGATGTTTGTATTTACCATTCTTTCTTCTAATACATTACGAAATATATTACAAAATTCCTTTCTTGAGAAGAATTTACTCATAATATACTCTGAGTATTTTTTTCTTACCTATTCAAAAATTTAAATATATGGTGCAAACCTTGAATGTTTTAAGTGTACTAGCGTAGCCCAAAATTGTCTATGCTCCAAAACATTATCAAATATCTCTAGAATAACACAAAAGACTAAAAGAGGCCCATTCAAAATAAATAAATAAATAAATAAACAGTACTCCTAAATAAATATTTCTTATGTTTTTTTTACTTGACTTGTTTCATTTATCACTATAATAGGTGAAAATCTATAACTATAAATCCCTCTAATAAGTAAAAATTATAGAAGTTATATATTATGATATTACTTATTAAAAGCGGGTCAAATAAAAAAAAACGGAGGAAGTAAAAGACAATAAATATCATAGATACCAAAACCTCTGTCCAAAAAATAAAAAAAGTGGGCATTGCTAAACACAATCTCACTTTTCTTAACGCAGCCCTTGTTTCCATCATTTGTAAAGGTTTAAGGAAAAAAAAAACCTCCCACTCTTACTTTTTTTTTTCCTCCCACTTTTCAAAAATACAACCAATATTCTAAACACTTCCAAATTGAAACGGATGATTTTTTTTACCAAACTCAACTTGAATATGAGTAAATCTACATGTACTCTTGTCCGTCCATGTAATTATTAAAGCAAGGACCTCCTCTTGCCTCTTCAAAGGTTCATGTAATCCATGCTCAGTACTCATCAAACAACTAAAGAAATGAAACGCGAAACAATTTGCGGGATTGTCATGTAAACTAAATAGCAGGCATCAATCCAAATATCCAATAAATGAAACAACATGAAAGACTTCAATCCAATAAAGAGAACAAAAAGACTTGCGTGGACCTAGTCCACAATAATATTGTGGACCCGAGGTCTATACACACGCAACTGATATTATATTGAACATAGTGACCATTATTTTTAACATAGTAACCTTATTTTTAATCTAGTAACCTTTATTAAAACTACTACAACGTTTAATAATATTGTGAACTTGAAATATGACGCTATTACCCTATTTTTAACATAGTAGCCTTTATTATTCATATTGATCAGTATATAAAATATTTCATTACAAAAATAACCACTTAGGCATATATATTACCAAAATAAATTTTTATTTCAATATAGTGACCTTTTTTTTAATTATAGTGACCCTTTTTTTTTATTAATAAAACAACCCTACTTTCTCTAATGTTAGTGGTCCACAATAAATTAGTGTGAACCAGATCCATTTAAGAATTTGTATAAAGCGAAACAATAGATCATATTTCAGTCAAGTTACATGAAGTAAAACAATCTAATTTCGCCCAGCTATATGAAAATTACCCATATGCTTCAGCCCAGCTATATGAAATACCTCAATTTATAAATTCTAATTTTCAAATCTGTTTCTAAATTTGCCTTTTCTTTGTTAAATTCCTCGATAAAATTGCAATGTACTACTATATTCGAATTATCATTGTGAATTCCTATCAACTTCAATGTAGAGATTTTGGGGGAAAATATAGCAAGATGAAGAGAAGTGTATAACTCAAAAATTTAAAGATGGTCAAGAAATTCTAACTGGTTCAGAATTATTTTTTTAAAAAAAGAGCAAAGTGAGATTGAATTTCTGAAATAAAAAGAGTAAGAAGAAGAGTTGAGTTAATGGATTCACTAGAAAACGAACGTCTGGATATCTAACTGACATAGTATTTGGGAAAAAAAAGTTACAGGGGTATTATGGGTATTTAGGAGGGTTGTGTTAAAGTAAAATAGGGTTGCATTTAGCAACCATGAAAAAAGTAGAAGAATCCCAGCGAAAATTATAAAAATGCAACACTCATCTTCCTATTTTCTCTCTCCTCTGTTCTACAGAATTTCCAGAAACTTCCCTAAAACCTCAATTAACTTAACCTCGCATGAATTTCTTCTTCTGCAAAATTCCCCAAATTTGCATACTGTTTCATTGGATTGATTCCTTCTCCTCAATTCACAACTTCGTTTTCTGATTTCCCGTCGTTTTCTAGGTAAATTTTCGACATTTCTTGTTTTCCCGCCCAGAAGAATTTTGTCTTAGGGTTTGTTCATTGCTTTATCTCAAGTGTTCTTCGCAAAAATTAAAGAAATTTCTCCTCTTTTGCTTTAATCTCGCAATTTCTGTTCTTGTTTTCGATTTTTTGATTTTATTAGGCTTTTAAACTGCGCAATGGTTTTCGTTTTAAATGTCTGAATATATTCTGAGTTTTCGCTTTGTTTTTGCGAAGAACTGCTATGATTTAGCGTAGATGCATGCTGTTTGTGTTAATCGCTGTTACTTGAGGAAATTAGGTTTAAATAAAGTTGGAATTTCTGGGTTTTAGTTTTTGTGGTAAAATGACGAGGGAAGGAAGAAGAATGGTAGATAGACAAGATGATGATGGTAGAAGAGAAATGGATTATCATGGAGAGAGAACTGGGGAAAAAGAACGCGGTAGTAGTCGACATTGGTCTGCTGAAGATAGAGGGTTTGGTTTGGTTAGAATGAGCCGAAATGGTGATGAACAATTGCGGACATTTTCGCGGTTTAATGATCAGGATGTTCCAATTAGGGATGGTGCTGCTGAAGAGAGAGGGGTTGGCTTGGTTAGAATGAGCCGAAATGGTGATGAACAATTGCATACATTTTTTTCGCGGTTTAATGATCATGATATTCCAATTAGGGATGGTGCTGCTGAAGAGAGAGGAGTTGGCTTGGTTAGAATGAGCCGAAATGGTGATGAACAATTGCAGACATTTTCGCGGTTTAATGATCAGGATGTTCCAATTAGGGATGGTGTTGTTGAAGAGAGAGGGGTTGGCTTGGTTAGAATGAGCCGAAATGGTGATAGGCAATTGCGGACATTTTCGCGGTTTAATGATCAGGATATTCCAATTAGGGATGGTGATACGGCTTCGAAGTTTCAGTGGAAGAATTTGATGAGAGAATCAGGGAATTCTATGGTTGATGGCATGGAAAGGGGTTATCTAGATAGTGGGCATGCCAATAATGGTAGGGAAATGATAATTGTGGAAGGCGAGGTGATTAGGAATTTACCAACTAATGAATATAATGCTCGTAATGCTGAATACCGTGGACGTACTAGGAATGTGGCACGTGTTTTGGTTGAGGATCTGGAATATCATGGAAGTATTAGGAATGTTGTGACTGAACTTCCGAATGAAGGTGCTGAGTATCATAGACAGAATAGGAATGTGACTGGTTTTCGGATTGAAGATGCTGATTGTAATGGACACACTAGGAATTTGACTGGTCTTCAGATTGAAAATGCTGATTATAATGGAAACAACAGGAATATGATAAGCTCTAGGAAAGAGACTGGGCTTTCAGTTGAAGATGCTGAATATCATAGATGCACAAGGAGTGTGATGACTAGTCATCCAGCTGAAGATGGTGGGAGGTTTTTGGCAAGGAACTATTCTCAGCGTATGGATAGGGAATTTTCGTTAGTGAAATCTTACGGGGAGGGAAATTATAATAGGTTTCAGGGTGAGGATAGCTCTTGTAGTTTGACTCCACGTTCACAGTCTAGTGGTCAACATACCCCATCGCAAGGAATTATCTTTTCAAATTTGGAAGTTCCACGCCAAGTAATTTTCCATCATCCTGCTGATGGGCTTGGAACTTGTGGGAATAATCCATCTTCAAGTTGCTATGATTCCCATGGAATATTATACTCTAAAGCTGGTACAAATGCTTTATCTATTTCAAATAATGATGGTGTTTATCTAAGAGCAGGGCATAATTCAAACACGGGCAGGCATGCTGAGTGTATGCATTCAGAGAGTCAAAGTTCTGGAAAGAGTTATAGAAGAGCTTTATCAGAAGATGCCTATGACAAATATGAGAATGTCCAAGATTACAATAATTATGGAGAAACATTTGGAAATGACACTTTAAATCCTGCCTTGCCCAGATATAAAGATGATAGACGACATAGTTCTGATCACACACTGCAAGAGGCACCTATCACGGATGTCAATGGCTTTAGAATGACTGCCCATGAGATAGAATATGGTGGGGTTGAATTGAAACCAACGAATAGCTATCGTGAACATCAAACACGGGCTAATTATGAAACAACACCTCATGAAGAGGAGTATCCATATGAAATTGATGCGTATGGTGTATCATATGAAGACCAAACAAGGAACTATTCAACGCTAGAGGAAGGAACTCTAATTGTTGATGAAGATCCAGAGCAGATATTGAGGTCAAGAGAGATTGATTTGCATGACCAGTCCAAGAAAATTTCTAAAAGAAAGCGTGGGTTAGTTGGAAAGATGAGTGGGCCTAAGCACAGAACTTCTACCTTGGGTGGTAGAGGTGCTTTGAGCTATGATAATAGGCTTCTAACTGCTGAGCTTGATAATGAGTTAGGTCACTCAAATAGGAGTTCAGGTCATTATTTTCATTCAAATGAAACTGCAAGAAAGCCTAAAAGTGAATCTAAACAGCCATTTGGTGGTTTGTCTAAGAAATTGCAAAGCCGTTTAAGCAAACCTGGTGAAACTGACAGCAATGATATAAAAAACCGGCTTAAGTACCCTCATTTTATACCTCGTTGTTATGGACCTAAAGCCTCAAAATTTTTGAAGGGAAATGTTAAAAGCACTGTCAAGCCTTCTCTGAATGTTAACCACATTGATTCACAACCTCATGGCAAAGAAAAATGCAACAGCACTAGAAAGAGGCTCAAGCGACCATCTTTTATGGATGTTTCTCCATCTGATTCTCAAGTTTCACATTCTAGACTTGACTTGGAGTCTCAGCAGAAGCTAGCTGCTAAAAACTCTGGGAGTACAAAAGAGGCAGGTCCTCCTCAAGAAGCTGATCCAGACCATTCAATACTCAAGGTGAAACCCATGGAGAAAGATCCTCCAGAAGACTCTGAAGAACTTAAGCGTCAGGTGGACCATTGGTGTTTAAAATGCATGCTTTATTTGAATACAAACCTAGGTCAACAGAAAAAGTTCAAGGAGCAAGGAAAAGCTGGCACATTGAAGTGCGTCATATGTTCCAGGTCTGTCTTGACATTGATTTGATTCTCTTTAAATAGGAGCCCTATTGCTAATCAGTCTTAATATTCCTCAACCTTGCAACTAAGTGAATTGTGTGATTAATACAGTTGTTTTTGGCGATTAAATATTCAGTATGATTTAATGCATTGTAAATAAACATCTTAGGTCCTAAGACGCCTGGTATTTTGAAGCTTTATCATTATAAAAATAAGGGTAGCTTTTGATGATTGATACTGAGAGCTAGATGCCATTACAGGCAAAAAAACCTATGTTAAGCAGTAAACTGAACCCTGAGACCGAGGATCTTTCTTTCCTCCTTATTTATCTATTTATATCTTAGGAGGGCTGGACAACGTGCAAACATTGCTTATCTTAACATATATCTTATATTCTTATGTCCATTAAGTTTTCTAAAATATGAAACCTGCTTAGAATCCTTATTTTGAATCATTCTTTTGCAATTGCTGTTTGACAGTCCCCTTTTGAGCATTATTTGTGTTATTCTTAAATTAGTTTCCTTCTCTTGTCTTTGTGTGGGCTTGTTACTTCTATTATCTCCCTTGTTTCTTTGTCCATAGTGGGGTAAATTTGTCTTTTTGTTTTATTTTATTTATGCTGCCAATTTTGGGTTTAGTAGTTGTTGCAAGCCTTGTAGTATTATCAAGAATAAGTTTTTAAGGTGCTGGTGCTAAATATGTTTATTTGAACAAAAGCTGGACTCAGATTACCTGGATGCTACTAACTGTTCAAGTTAACTTACTGGTGTTATGTGCCGTTTTTCAACAGCTCTAAAGAGTTTATTCAAACAAAAGATGTTGCAGCGCATGCATTTACATCTGTTAAGGTTGGGTTTAGAGCAGCACACCTAGGGTTTCATAGAGCTCTATGTATCTTGATGGGATGGGATCCAACAGTTGCTTCTAATGGCCGGTGGGTTTGTCAGTCTTTACCTGATGCAGAAGCTTGGGCTTTAAAGGAGAGGTAAGCATTTAATCTCTCAACACCCCACCCCCTCCCTTTTTATTTCTTTTTTCCTCCTAGCTTCCATCCTCTTTTTTGTTATCTTTCCTTCCAATATTAGCTCCAATTAAACTGGCCATTATTTTGCTTGGGTGAGGCTCTTCATGTGGTACGAATCCAAGTTTTATTGCTGAATCTATGATTTAATTTGTACACCATCTCAAGCACAATGCTCGACTGGTTACCCTTTTGTTAGTTGCCTGACGACAATATGACCTGATGAAGTTGGTTTGTTCTATTATGCATATTTATTCTTAATTATAATTTTTATACATCTTCGTGCAATATTTTGTAATCTACTCCATGGTGAACTATGTTTGCTTGATCCTTCTCTTGTGTCTTTGGTGGTATGTTTCCGGCATGTGCTTCAGATATGGGTTTGAGTGAAGAAAAGACCACAATATGCTATGGAAAACCTGGAAATCCAAATATTATATTGGCAAAGTTCAATGGAACTCTTTCTGGCTTGCAAGAAGCAGAAAGACTTCATAATGTTTTTTCTCAGAAAAAACATGGAAGGGCTGAGCTTCAAGAGATAGATGCTGGAATTGGGAGCAATGAGGGAGATTCTCAAAAGCCAGAAGACAAGGCAGAAGACTCACTATATGGATATCTCGTGATTGTGGAGGACTTCGACAAACTGAATTATGATATGAGGCGACATTGTGTTGCAAAGTGTAAGAAGGATATTCTTGCTTGCATGGATACTGCTAGTTAATAGTTGAAGAGAAGCTGCAGCATGCCACAGCTGGATGACTGTTTTGGTTCAATCTTTTTTTTTTTTTCTTTTTGTCAGCTCAATTGTAAATTTTCATGAAGCTACTGCCTCTTTGCAAGTCCTCTTCCTCATACCCTCGGCCTCGTCCCAAGATGAACTTTTTTTTGAACCATTTAGTTTCCGGTGCAAGTCCTAGTTAGTTGACAATCAGAATTAGAGTGCCAAAATTAATTTTTGGAGTGTCGAAAATGTGGATAAATGGCTTTTCTTTTGTTGATTGGCACATATATATGTAGACACTAGACACTTTTTTACTCTGTTTCAACTCTTTCAAGCATCAATGAACAAATACTTCGTATATTTTATCATGGTCATATCCTGGTTGCAATTTAAGGGCAAAACAAAATAATCAATCAGCAAAACCAGAACATATCAGCAATACGGAGTAATTAAACAATGTATTCCCAAATTATGAACAACACACTACACCAATTTACGCTATATTTGCATTACTTGTATAATCATGAAAACAAGGTTAAATGGATTCAATGGATATCAGTAGTGAATTAGTGATCAAGAAAAGAAAACAATTCACACAGTTCCTAATACCCTTTGCTTTTAACTTAGACTCAATTGTGGCTCAATTATTTAGGACGGCAGAGGAAATATAAAGTCAGCTCCAGATTCATCCTTGATCAAGATCTCTTGAAAAAAAATGTTGAGCTTCCTAACATAATAACCTCTTACAATTGATTATACCATTATATCCTCTTTATAATCAAGTAATGGGAGAGTATGAACATAGACCTATTAGTCTTTCGAGTAAATAATTGTGTCATATATGAGTATATGACTACTCAACTACGACTTATTTTTTTGGTGTATGGACTATGGAGAGCCACAAGGGCGGGTGATGAGAATCGATTCCAAAATCTCTTGGAACCAGGACGGAAGCTCTAACCACTTGAACTATCTCTCACTCTCTTAACCTATGAGTAACCTCTCACTCAACTACGACTTATGAGTAACAATAATGTGAGTTATACGAATGAGGGAGTAACATTTAGGTAATAATGGACATAGAAAAATCCAACTTTCCATTGATTCGGAAGTTGTTGTGCGCATATTAGGGAAGAATTTCAACCTAACTTTGTATATACACATCATAAGTAAATGCAAAGCTCTTATTTTTGAAAGAGAATGAGAGGTTGATGTCTAGTGACTATTATAGAGAAATTAATCGTGTAGTGCAATTTTATATACTTGTCTCAATAATTTTTTCGTATTTTTTTACATAACATAGTTATGTACTTATATGTTGATGAACGTAAAAAACTTGTTAGATGAATACGATGCTAAGAGTATGAAAGTGACATTAATCTGGGTAGGGTCTGCACCCCCATAAACAATCTCGTTAACTCAACGGTTAAACGACGTCGTGGCATTATTCTAGTAGCCTCTTCTCTTCTCCTTCCTCTGTTTCCTACAAATTGTGCAAACAAAGTAACGAACCAGAGACAACCGCCATATTTACAATTTCCAATATCTTAAAATACTCCATTCCTATACATTTATTCATTTCTATCTTCATTAAATGGTGAAGAAATTCATCATACATCATCTACAAAGATAATTATTCAAAATCCCTCTTTTTATCAGCTATGATTCAGGTAATTTTAATGTTATTCATTTATTAAAATCAAATTTTCCCATGAATTTATTGTCTGTTTAATAAAAATATAGTGGAAGATTTGTATTTTTTGTATATAAAGATTACAACTTTTCCCCTTTTTCGCGTGATTATATGAATTTGATGCTTGCTTAATTGCTTTGTGGTTTGGTGGGATACGTCATCTTATTTGATGAACTTGCAGATTATTTTGCATCTGGGTTAGTATTTAATCTCTTATTTTCCATAATAATATATGGGCCAGTAGTTATGATTTCTGTGTATTTTACAAAGTCTCTTGTTTTGGTATACATAAGTCGTGTAGACGAAATTTGATCCAAGTCTTGTATACGACCCCGAGACTAGTTATCTAGTCTTCATCCACTAATGTCAGTATTTTTTTTTACTTGGGTTTACTTTCTTTAACTTGGGTGATGAAGAATATTTCCTTGTTTAATCTATTTAGTTTAGGTAGTTTTTGTTTTGAGTTGTTTCCTAGTTGAGCTCGTGATGTGGATTTTTTTGGTAGGTACCCAAATTATTATAAGTATTATTAGAAGTACAAATTGAGTGAAAAAAGATCAGGAATGGCTATTGCAGAAGGAATTCTGCATTATCTTTCTGGGCCTGCTCTTTGGCATCCAATCCTTCAATCTGATTCTGTTCTTAAATCCAACTTGAGCTACTCAGGTTTTTTGACATGTACTAAAAAGTTAGAGGGTTCAAGGGGGAAGAGAAATCTCCTGAAATTCGGTAGTTGTTACCGGAGGGAAAACTATGTTCTTCCTTGGAGAAGTAGTAGAGTTAAGAGGCTTGATTGTTTGAGTTCAGATAGTTTAAATGGACCCTCGTATTCTAGTGGGGGTGAAGAGTACAAACCAAATTCGAATGATGTTAATGTTAATCTACATGTTAATGAAGTCATATCCAGTGAAAAGTTAGCTGCTGCTGCAGCAAAAAGTGAGAAAGCGTTGAGGATTAATGCGGATTCATTAGAGGATGAGGCGTGGGAGCTACTTAGAGAATCCATTGTTTGCTATTGTGGTAGTCCTGTGGGAAAGTGAGAAAGTGAGAAAGCGTTGAGGGTTAATGCGGATTCAGTAAACGATTGCAGCTAATGATCCAACCTCCACTAGTATTCTGAACTATGACCAGGTCTTCATCCGCGACTTTGTGCCTTCTGCAATAGCATTTCTTTTGAAGGGCGAGTATGATATTGTTCGGAACTTCATCCTTCACACCCTTCAATTGCAGGTATGTATGATACGTTTGCAATTCAGCCATTATAGTGTACTTTGTTTACAAGCTCTTAAGTTGTTCATCTTAATAGTTTTGTCTCATCTTTCATGTGGAGTTTCTTACAATCTCTTGAAAAACTATCATGAGAAGTATTCGGGAGATTATACAGGCATTGCCTTGCTCCTCTTTATTTTTGAATATATATGAACTATGTTACTCAAAACAGCTTCAAGTGTCAGACACAGCATTTTTTTTATAAGTGTTTCATACTCTTGGCTAAGTTTACATGTGTACTTGAAATAACATAATATATGTAAGTGGTTTTGCATAATTAACACATTTCATTGTAACTGTGCGTGCTAACTTCATGAAGAAGGTGGCTTATGATTGCTTTTAAAAAAAACAGAAATAAGAGGAGTGGGGCAAGAGAGATTAAGAGGATGATAGTATGGCTAGATTCTATGCCCTGATATTGCAATCCATGTCATAATTCGTTGATTTGGTATATGTGACCATGAAGATAGGAGAGCTTCAAGTCTTCAACCTCATATTCACATTTCTATGGAATATTTATCTGTGACAAAAATGCTTAGTCACTTCTGATACTCCTTTTGGCTTATTGACGAGAGATCATAATGGCTTGTGTCATCCAGAGCTGGGAGAAAACCATGGATTGCCATAGTCCAGGGCAAGGGCTGATGCCTGCCAGCTTTAAAGTACGAACTATTGCCCTAGATAGCGATGATTCTGCCACTGAAGAAGTACTAGATCCTGATTTTGGTGAGGCAGCAATTGGCCGTGTTGCTCCAGTTGACTCTGGTTGGTGTACAAGTTCTCGAGATCTAATAGTTGTTTTGAAGTAAGGGCTGGTTTTGAGCTGGTTCTTACTTCTATTTTTCTTGCTATGACTTCTATTCAGGACTCTGGTGGATTATAATGTTGCGAGCATATGGAAAATGCACTGGAGATCTTTCAGTACAAGAAAGGATTGATGTTCAGACTGGAATGAAAATGATTTTGAAGCTATGTCTTGCTGATGGTTTTGACATGTTTCCAACTCTGCTGGTGACTGATGGCTCTTGCATGATAGATCGTCGTATGGGAATTCACGGCCACCCCCTTGAAATTCAGGTGGTTTCATATTTCATTTATTCATTAGGATTAATTGTCAATGTTGATATTCTTGAAAATTCAGGCTGATAAGTAGTATTTTGATGTACTTGCTTAAAATTTTCATCCCCGGCAATATATCCTCTCATAGCTTATATTCTTTCAACATCTACCTACTTTTGTAGGCATTGTTTTTATTCGGCATTGCTCTGTGCACGTGAGATGCTTACTACTGAAGATGGATCAGATGAAATTATAAGAGCACTTAACAGTCGGTTGTTTGCACTATCATTTCATATCAGGGAGTACTACTGGATTGATATGAGGAAACTCAATGAAATTTATCGTTACAAGACTGAAGAATATTCGTTTGATGCAGTAAACAAGTTCAATATCTACCCTGATCAAATCCCACCATGGTTAGTGGAGTGGATGCCTGAAAAAGGTGGGTATCTGATAGGAAACCTGCAACCTGCTCACATGGATTTCAGATTCTTCTCACTCGGAAACTTCTGGTCAATAGTAAGCAATCTGGCAACACCAACTCAATCACATGCCATATTAGATTTTGTTGAAGCAAAGTGGGCTGATCTCGTGGCGGATATGCCCTTCAAAATTTGTTATCCTGCCCTTGAAGACCAAGAGTGGCGAATTGTCACAGGAGGTGATCCAAAGAACACGTAATGTGCTTACTTGCTGACATTTTTTTACCAGTCCCACAATTTGGCTTCTTGATCTTAGTTTCATGTTGTTTCTTGTGCAGTCCTTGGTCATATCACAATGCAGGTTCATGGCCTACTTTGCTCTGGCAGGTCAGTTAATATCATCCCAGCACCCAACAGTACGAAAATAGAAATTTCCAGAGGAAAAACTCGCCTGAAGTAGAATGTAACTTTGGAGTTAGGACACTAGACACCCTATATAATTATGGTAATATTAACATTGAGACGAAATAGAGGGGGCAAATATTTTGTTGACTGATAAATAGAATTAGAGTAAGAAGATAAGGGATAAGCATATCCATTTCAAGACTTATTTTCCTTGCATGCAGTTTCAGACTTTTAGGTAGTGCTTTAAAAAGTTGTAATGATTCCATAAGAGTAGTGCTATACGAGTAATTAATTTGGAGCAACAGCTGACAGAAGTTCTACAATGTTGTTTCAGCTAACTGTGGCTTGCATCAAGATGAACAGACCAGAGATCGCTGAGAAAGCTGTGAAAATTGCTGAGCAACGTTTATCAAAAGACAGATGGCCTGAATATTATGACACAAAGGGAGCTAGGTTCATTGGAAAACAGGCACGCATGTTTCAGACATGGTCTATCGCAGGTTATCTGGTGGCCAAACTCCTCCTTGCCCAACCTCAGAAGGCGAAGATCTTGATAAATGAAGAAGACTTGGATCTTGTTAATGCTTTCTCTTCTATTAGTGCTAACTCACAGAATAGAAAACGATCTAGAAAGGGACACAAACGGAGTTACATTGTCTGAGTTGTTAGGCACCTTTTGCTGGATGAAGTAGCCACCTACACAGTTGGTTCAAGTGCAAGAATCAAAGCAAGTGTTGTTTCATTGAAAATAATAAATCAGTTGTGCAACATCATTTTCTTATATATTGGTATGATATGACTTAAGTTTTGAAATACACATTTAGATGGGGAGCTAATGACTATTTCATGATTCATGCCTCTGTTGTAAATATGTTGTGGCATAACTTAAAAATACTTGTAATAAAAGTACGGATATGTTTCCAAACTTTGCCCCAAATAAATGATTTGGCTTGACAATACAGCCGGCATATATAGTCTTTAAGCAGTGTATTGAGCCAATCACTCCAGCATAACCAAGCAGATAGACAACAGATTCCAAGAAACAAGGCTATCTAAAAGCAGGACTCCAAATTAGTGAAGAGATCTCCACTGGCACAGCAATAAACATTATTAGTTGTAGCCTGTATTCTGTAAGATGTATTGATGTACATTTAGGGACCATAATGTAGAACATCGTATGGCTTTTGGATTCCCTGCGTAACATTTTGGTGAAATAATCTATAGACATCTCAAAACATAACTCTAAAGACATTTTAACTAATTAGTGTATTGTTATACGACTATACGAGTATTGCTTTTATATAATAATAAATGTTGAAATTAAAATTTAAATTGGTAATGCGAGGTGATCTTGGGGTGGGTAAAGTAATTGGTAGAGCGAGTAAGATGGTTATTTAACTGATGTGGATACTCAAGTGGGTGGTGAAGCAGGGATGAGGACAAAATTTGTAATGTAACCACCGCAAGTGATGGAACAAGAATCAAGTGATGGAACATTTGCATCCCCGCCATCCAATTGGCATAATCAATGTGGCCCATTTTTTCAGGTTTGGGCAGATGTTTTGTACGGGAAATTAAGCTTAGGCGGCTACCTCAACTTGTTTTAAGTTATTTGAGCCTAAGGTTTGAAAAGCTCGGAGCAACCAAGATCAAATTTGGCAGTTTTGGGTAGAATTCTGAAGGCAGACTCTAGCTCAAGGCGGATAATTTTTGCCATGGCCTAGCCATCCATGGTCACCTGTACTAAGACATCATGCATTATCCATGTAGGTAGTTCTCGAGTTCATAACAGTATCAGTTATAGCCTATATACCTTCCTCTGATATACTCTACAACATTTACACGGGATGATGTATAATATGGCAGAATTGAGACTTAACATTGTACATTGAGCTGAATCAGTTGTCTACTATCAATATCTTTACAATCTCTAAATTCAACCTTTTACAAGCTTATTTCCCATTTACATAGTCAAATCTCAAATACTCGAACCCTCTGGTCCGTCCCCAATCTACTCCTTACATATAGGAGCCTCAACATGATAGGATCACTACTGCTGTCATTCATACATTTAATTTCACAGTATAAACAAGCTTAAAATGGGAATGAAATCCTCAAGTCTGACGGCTCTCTGTCAGTATGGATTCCAACAGGGACTCACAAGCATCTTCGAGAAGATCTATAACCTGCAGAAGTGGGTATAAGATTGACAAACATTTATCGGTGTAACAATTAATGAAGTTTATGCAAATTTCGGGGGGTGGGGGGGGTAATGTGTCATCTTAGGGGTCGTTTGGTTGGATCATTTAGAATGGAGTTAGAATTCAATCCATCTATTTTTTTGTTTGGTTGAGTTTTTTTAGTAATAAAATCTCATACCAAGGGATTCTAACTCTACCCCATACCTATAGAATCCCATACTTAGGCCTGTTTACGGATCGGATATCCGAATACAATTGAATATCCAAATCTGATCCGAAAATACTCGGATATCCAAAATTTTCGGATCGGATGCTTCAGATATCCATTTTATTTATGTATTTTTTTTTATTATTGGCTTGTGAATATTCAAGAAAACAACTTCTTTCATGGTATCAGATTGCTAGGTTACGATCCTTCCATTATCCAATGTCAAGTAAAATTGATTATGATTACTTTCTAAATTTCACTAATTTTACCGTTTTTTTATCGCTAAGTTGTACAACTTATTTTAACAAAATAGTAGTCTAATAGTCTTTTTGCAATAAATATTATCATAAAATATATTAAGAATATTATAATAAGTTAATAATACAGGGTTAGTTTTATATGAACAATTTAAAAAATTTATATATATTTCACTATTTTAGCCTTTATATTTCGGATATCGGATATCCGAAATTTTTAAAATTAATATCCAAATCCGCATCCGATATCCGCTTTTTCGGATCGAATATCCGATTCGAAATGAAACTCGGATCGGATATCCAAAAATTCGGATCGGTTGCGGATCGGATTATCGGATTTTCGGATTTTCGGATAGTTTTGTATAGGCCTACCCATACCCACCTCCCCCCCTAAGATTCACAATCCATTCTATTAATGAAGAATACAATCCATTCCAACATTAAACCAAACAACTTTAGGCTAGTATGGGTTTTAGAATCCATACCATTCTAGTATGAGATTCCATTCCAATCCATTTCAATATAATGAACCAAACACCCCCTAATTTATTTGGTTTCCTACCTCCCAGAATTAGCCAATTAAGGAGAAACTTGGGATAGACGTTTGCATTTCTCTTTTTCAATTCTCATATTATTTCGCAATTAAAAAGAATGCATAGCATAAAGTAGCCCAGTTCTTTGTCTTCAACCCCCTCAATCACAAAGATTGCTGACAATCAATGGAATGGGTCCAATGGGAAGTGTGTGTAACGTTATCTATCTCTTGACCAATCGCAAGCAACCTCACATGACAAAGGAGTTGCAATGAAACTAAATGAAGCCTATAAAGAACAATCTAACCAGTGTCACGCAAGCAACAAAGAGAAATCAGATTTCAACGAAATATGACTGTACAGTGCAGTCAGAGTACACCAGTAACTAATGATCTAAATAAACGTACTATAACAATCAAACCGAGGCTAGCCACACCAACTTTCCATCCCTTAAAAGTGAAAGGCAGTGGTTAAAATCATATGAATATCTGCCTGATGGCTGATTTGCCAAAGGCAAGAATCAATCACACCAAGAGACAACACTAACAGCTTTACCGATCCTAAGGATCTCTAGCAAAGGGAGGTAGATAATATTCTGAATTTGAGACTAACTACATGCCCCAGAACTTGGCTACATTTAGTGATACTCATTCTGCATTTCTGCCTCTATAAGACAGGCCACGTTTAAATTGAGTCATTTTCACATTTATAAGGACAGGAACTATAATTTAAACTTTTACATCTCCACTAACAATGCAGAATCTTTGGAACTTTTATATATGAATTACAAAAGGACCTTTAACTATATACCTAGTCCTAAAAGTAGCCTATATGTTGGGAGTTGGGACAATAAAACTAGAGATGCGGTAGATTATTATGGAAGAAAGGAGTAAATTTATGACTTACGAGGGTCAGTAATTTAGTTATTTGAAGAGAAAACAAGAGTGTGCCACATGGGAATGGCTACAAGGTGCCAAGACAAAGAGAGAGGTTGCGAAAAAGTTAGAAAACAATGTGAAGTTCAAGTTATATACATCAATCTCAGGCCAAGTACGAGGCTAAGCTGCAAGTGTTAAGTTGCAAATTTGCTGTTCTGAGAAAGAAAAATAAGCTTGTAGAGCATCATAATCATGCCTAGCTCATTATCTAACTGCTAGGGCATGATGTAAACTATATGTTTAACAGTTCCTATAAGTTCACC